CTCTGGGGGTGGGGGGGATCTGGGTTGCAGGCCAGCCCTCTAAAGAGCATTTGAGATTGTAATTACTGAGAGCTGTTCTGCACTAGATGGGGCATTGATCTGACTTAATGGCTTTCTTGTGCAAAGTGATGATTTCCCCCTTTCAGAGTATCTGTTCTTGGGTGGAAACACATTTTATGGGGTGATGAAGCAGCATAATTGCTGGTATGTGGCCTTTTTTGGTCAAGAAGCATGCTTTCTTGTTTATAAGCCCCTCAGTTTTGATTGGCGTGTTCAATTCCAATGCTAGCACCTTAATTTAGAAAGACAGGAAGGTGGGAGACAATTACCAGGAAAAATTTCTCTGTTACTTTCCTCCTACACCTTTTCTCTCACTTCCTCTCAGTTTCTTGTATCTCACTTTTTTTCAATTTGTCTTTCAGCAGCACAGTTGCATCTTGTCTGTAAATAACCTTTGAGCTTTCTAAGGTGGAGATGATCACCTAATGCAATTTTCTATACTGTGATTTTATTTAGTGTCCTAATCTATGATGGGTCTTGCTATTGAAGTAATATTTTAAAAAGTTTTCAGATATGGGCTGTTACTTAAAAGTTGTAGTAAGGGCCTTCTGGACTCAAAGCTTCTTAGGGTTGGAGTAGATGGCTAAAATACTGCTTCTGTTTCTGAATTTTCTCAACACATCAGCTTACTGGTTTGCTAACATGATTGTAAGGAAGGGTCAAGTTTATTTAGGCCTGTTTAGTGTCTTTGGTTGCTGGATGCTGTGATTTTTTAGTATAATGCATCATTACACACCAAGTGGTAAGTAACTAAAATCTGCTAGTCTGTGGAGCTCCTGTCTGCAAACACTGACCTTTTAGGTAATTTAAATGGCCTCTCAGTCTTTTAAATCTCTTGTTTCAGGAAGTTAAGAAGGATGTAGAGCCCAAGGATGATGCCGTACCAGTCAGGAGGGAGAAATCTGGCAATGTAGCCAGTCTTGTGCAGCGTATGAGCAGCTATGGGCTTCCAGCAGGAGGATTTCAGCCTCATCCCCCATCCAAATGCTTCAAGAAGAGTATGTAGTCTTTCCAATTCCTTCAATTGCATAAGCTGCTGAAGTACATTTTTAAAAATAAACATTGACTATTTAATATCTGACTTAGTTTTAAGGTTGTACAGAAAAAATTAGTCGTAGGAGTGAAAACTTGGATTCTAAGGCAAATTTTGCTCCTGGGTGCATGGGCGGAAAGTTTTTGTGTAGTTCTTAACAGCAGCAATAAGTTGAATATTCTGGGGAACAATATTTAATTGATTCAAGAGCCTTACTCTGTAACTTTGTGTGAGCTCTGCTTGTATTGGCAGGTACCTGAAGAACAACTATAGGCCTTGTTTGCAGTAATAAAAATCTTCCCGTGGTCATTTCTTTTAAACATAACATTTTTTGCTACAGATTCAGGACTCTGTGACAAGGAAACATGTCATAGTTCAGGTACCTTTTTTTTGGTAGGCTTGCTTCTAGTGTGAAATGAGGTGGAGTTGGTGATGTCTAAGAAAAAGAAATGGTCTTCCTTAGATTGTAACTGCAGTCCCCAGGATGGTAAAAATACCAGTATTTAAATCAAAGTGGCTAAAACCTAGAGCAGAAAACTTGGTGTTCCCTGCATCCAGAAAATTGACTTGTGATTTGTATTTGGACACCTCAGTCTTGTAAAAGGATAAGCTTTAAATTACTCTGGCTTCATCTGTCTTGTAAGGGATTGTATGCATTTATTATTTAAGCTTGCTTGTTTTAAAAGAAAGAATTCAGAACTTACTGTTGCTGGTATGTTTATGCTTTGAGTTTTTGACCATAAAAGGAGAAGAGCCACTACTGATTTTTTTAAACTCTGAAATGGGACCACCAGGCTTACAAATTTGTTGAAACCTTCTTCAAGACAGCTAAGGATATTACCTTCAAAATCACTTTTCAATGGACCTGATCTATGCACATATTGGCAACAGCACATCCCTGCCCGTGAGATGTTGCATCAGCAGGCTTTTGAAAACCTGGCCTGAAAGATTAATCCTGTTCATAGATTAATGCAACCAGACTCTGAAAGGGAATCAGCATGATCCTTTAGGCTGCTTCCAACAGGAGATATTCTAGGATTCTGTAATGCTATGAACATGATCTGATACCAGTTCAGGTGTCAGTTTTTCATTCTGGTTTCCCTAATCCTTGAAAGATCCCATGCTCAGCATGTCTTGTTCTCATACTGGTGGCTGTGGCCAGGGTAATAGGTACAACTTGGTCTCAAACTCTACAGTGCTCTGGCTGTTCTCATCCTCTAGAAGAAAATTGTGTTCAAGCACCTTCCTTTAAGCACACGACTGTTTACTTGGCCCAATTACAATATATGTGTTTCCATTTTACTTGCTGTTGCCTTTTTCCTGGAAGACTGTTTAAACAGCTTCTGCAGATCCTGTTTATTCTGTGCAGGGGCAATTGTCCATTCCCTTAAAAAAAAGTTTCCAGTGCTTAGTCGTCTTTCTTTCTGGTTCCTAACCTGGTAAAATGAGGTTTACCATGTTAAAAACAAAGTTAAGCTTCTTTCATAGCAACTTTCCAGTGTGTGTTGAGGTAGGTTGTCTCTGCCTGGGAGATCCTTTGTGGTGTTCTCATGTGCAGCTCTCGCCAAATTCCAGTGTTTTGTATCAGGTGGGTGATAAGCTGCAGGCAGTGTTCCTGAGTTACATGGCTGCCTTTCTTTAGGAAAGGAAAACACAGAAGGTGTGCTAAATGGTGGCAACAAAAGGCTAAATGTGGTTTGCCCTGTACAAAACAAATAAAACCTGAAGCTGGACAAGTTGTTTTGGAAATAGACAGAAATGCCTCGGGGCCACCAGCTCAGCCCTTGCAGCACCAGATGAAGTTGATGTAGTGTTTTCAGAGAGGATTGATTAGTTTCCTATGTTAATGTAGGTATTTTCAAAACTAGAAGACAGTACTTCCTTAACTGAGTATCACTGAAAAAAGACGTCAGGTGAGAGAGTTCTGGATGTGAAATGCATCTGTGGGTTTGTTTTCTCCCCCTCTTCCCCATTTAGATAGAATTGCAATATGAACAGGAATGCTGAGATCAGACAGAAACCAAATGGCCGTGACTTCTCCTTTGTATGAGATTAACTGATAACTAAAAAAGGCAAATTAAGCAAGCCCTGAAAGCGCTGCAGGAGGTAGTAAAGGCCAGTGAACCGTTTATTGCAATTACTGTTAACCTAGCAATCCCTACTGGCTGATGTAGGAGTCTCAGTGGAGTTAAAAGAAGGGTGTATTATGTGGGCAATTACATGTTATTAGAAATAACCCACTGAGTTTCATACTTTTGGTTTGTTTATTTCCTGCTCCTTTTAAGCTCTTTAGAGCACAGACCATATCCCAGCATGTAGAAAATTCTTGATTTGGTGAGCCCCCTCTCAGAAATTTTGGGTTCTGCATATTACTTGGATGCCTGGTATGTTTTGTACTGTGGACACAGGGTGTGGCCGTCTTCTAAACATCTGATTTTGGACCGTCAACACTGTTATAATAAGACAAGGATCAACCTTGCAGGCAGTATCTGTATTTGGAAGTGTTTTTTACCCAGCTAATCTTATGCTGAAGTTAAAGTATGGAAGGAGTGCAAAATATAAGATCTCTTACCCAGCTTAAGCTTTATCACTTCAAGCTTTGGATTCCTATTTTCACTAAACTGTGGCTGACTGCTTTTGAGGAGGATAGGGAATGTATGTGGGTCATAGTTCAGGATGACAGTTGCCTTCAAAAGTGTGCTGGCTGCTCTGTTGTGGAAAAGGTTTGAAGCCATGGCCTCTGGTTTGAAGGAAAAATGCCTAAACTTTCTGGGATCATCAGTATCCCTCCAGGATATATGCAGAATAACAAGGGCAATGGTAGGTTCATGCTGCCCTGTCTGGAGGGGTTGTTGGAAGCCACTTCAGTGTTTTCCCCTCTTGGGATGTCATTTTGTCTTCTTAATGCCTGCAAAGCTTTAATGATATGTGGCACTTTATTTTAATTTGACCTTTGTCAAATGCTGCTGAATGAAGCTTAGCTTGAATTTCTGAACTCCATACTTGCCCTCGGAAAAGGAAGGTTTTTGCATTTGGAGATAGAAATTAGTTTGGATTTTGAAATATGAGCTCGGCAAATGTTAGCATTACCTCAGACCTGTAGCTAGCAAGGGCTTTTTTTAGGGCAGAAAGACTATTGGCACTTCAGTGTTGTACAGAACAAAACATTTCTTACTTCTTTCAGAATTCCTTAAGGCTCAAACTTGCGTATTTTCTTCCGAGCAAGTGCTAACACTGCAACTGGCAGCAGTTCATTCTTGTAGATTTTCAGTCAGGAAATAGCTTGAAAATCGTTGTACTGGGGATTTATCTGACTTGCATGTGTTAACATGTTTGTTGGTTTGTTGTTTTTTTTATAGCATGTTGGTAATTGGCAGTGTAGTGTTTTGCTTGTAATCAGCAGCCTGCGAAACTCGATGATTTTCAAGCTCTAAGATGCAGCTCACTAGCCTAAAATTACTCAAGGAACTTGGAAAACAAGCAGCAGACACTACGCAGCTTTGTGGAATGATTTGTGGGTGTGCTGGTCAAATTTGATCCTTGGGAGCTGGGTGGAACTAGTTTTCCTTTGCAAGTGTTCCTACTTTTGCCATTTCCCTGACTCAGGGTCCGGGTGCAAGAAGCGGCAGTGCAAAGTGCTCTTCGAGTATGCCCAGCAGAATGAGGATGAGCTGGACCTCAAGGTGGGGGATGTGATTGACATCATTGAAGAGGTAAGCTGTTCTGCAGAGCTGATCATCTCTTCACAGGGCCAAAATGAAAACTGTGGGGTTTTTGATGAATATTGGAATTACAGGGTTGTTGGAAAACCAGCATCTGTATTTGTATTTGAAGCTAAAGCTAACAGTTCTTTCTCTCAGGATCTAATCCTACCCTAACTTTCTAGATTTGTAAGGGAAGTAATTGATCATCACAGCAGTAAACTATGATCTGTTACACAGAGTCCTTTTTTAAAAGACTTCCAGTGTTTGCCCCTGTCTATGTGATCCTTGTTTTTAGGATGCTAATGCTAAAACTGTTTGACCGACTGCCTTGAAGTTGACATACTCTAACTTAGTTTAGGTAAAAAAAGGTTATTTTACCTGATTTTCCAGTTTGATGTTTTCTTGCAAACTCATTGAAGCTTTGAGCTAGTAGTTAATAGTATTCAGCACAGGAACCTATATCTGTAGTACAATGTATTCAACCCACTTGCACAAAGATATGGAACATACAAATGCACTCAACAACAAGTTATTATTTTTACTGCCTTACTTTTCCACTGGGTAGGAAATACAGTTAAAGGCACATCTTGCTGTTCAGACTGTGATGACAATGGCCCTACATAGTTGAGTGGAGGTTTCTTATTTTTTCCTACCTGTGTGCTTCCTTGGTATCTGTTCTGTTCAATGGCAACTTACGGGAAGCTTGAATGTGTGGGAAGAATGTCTGTCACACAGTGAAATCAGTTAGGGTTCCTGTGGAAAAGACTGGAGTGATTGTGGAAGGAGCCTTTTCAGAGGTAGGTGGAAAACTTCTGCATGATATGCTCTGGCATTTTCTGGTTCCATCTCATCTTACTACCTCCTGATGTCTGAGGGAGAAGACAGCTTTTCTTCCTAGCTGTGTGTCTGATGGTGCTTTTAAAGTAGCATCATGAGACTGTTTTTCACATGTGTGACCTCTTTTGGAGGTAGTATTAACTCTCCAGGATCCAAATGGTTGCCAGGAAAGACTTTTCCATTCTCCTAGCAAGGAAAAAGTTTTGCTTTTAGATGCATTTGTGCTGATGGCTTCTAGAATTGGTTCTCTCTGAATAAACAGAGCAAGTGACTTGTAAAACCCACTCCCTAAAAATTAGTTTCATAAATACCATTGTGTGTGGGTGTTTTGTAAAGGAATGCTCCTGGGTAGCCCCACCAGTTCTATTTGTGGATAGTCCCTGTACACAGTAGTAGTGACTTTGAATGGTCCAACACAGCATTTATAATCTATAGCATGTGTAGTGATCTGTTGCTGAAGCTGCTGTTTTGGGTCACGTGTATCAACATCTGGAGTTATTTCAGTGTGATGGCTCAGAGATGACCAAGTAGCCAAAGAGAATAAAAAGATCAAAGCATTTCCTCATCTGGTTTCTTAAGGAAACATGGATTTTATTATTTTCATTTTCTTGATGCTTCTTCCTTTCCTAACTATTTGAAAATTCATATTTGTAGTACCCAGCCTTTGCTACTTCAGAGAAAGCATTTGCCTAAACCTCTGATAAACAGGTTATTGGTAGAACAATATTACATCTAACTTTTAGCACAGTGGTGTTTGGGCACAGTTTTCATGGTGCTGTAGAACAGACATGACAGCTGTAGGCTAGGTCTGCTTCACAAAACTACTGATGGACCACAAATGTGACGAGTGGTAGAAAATACCATCCACTGGTTGTGCAATATGCTGGGTTAACTTGTCTTGGGTAACTTGTCTTCACTGTTGTGAGACAATTTGCTTCTGTTTACATGTAATAGTTACTATTTAATATATATGTGCAGGTAACTCATAACTGTTATTTCAAGGAAAGTTCATTTGGTTACATTTTTATGTGGAAGAAATAGGTAACTGAGCTCCACAATTTAAAGAGTTATCCGAGAGTAAATCAGTATTTAGCCCTTGCCATTGTTTTTGTAAACTGAGTGGTTACAACTGACACTACTGATGATGAAATCAAAGGTGGAGGCAGATGGATTCCAAAATTAAATGGCTAATATTTAAGAAAGTGGGCTACAAAGATCAGAAGTAGTTTTTTTGAGAAGAAGGCCCTTGTACTAAGTGTTGGCTGAATCCGTGGGTTTTTTTGCTTGCAGAACATGTGGGATCTGCATGCAAAATACAAGGACACAGTGCATGTGATGACTGTATCATTGCTGTAACACTTCTGTTTTTCCTTTATCTTCCCTCCACTCCTGTCAGATGTAGCACTTAATACTACAAAAATACATCTGTTATTATATTTGTGCTATTTGCATGCTGAGTTATCAATCATCATCAAAAGTCGTATTGCTCTATTAGTGGAGTTTTTATTTAAAAAAAATATACAAAATTAGATTGTTGCAGCCTTTCCCCCCTCACCTTAGCTTAGGAGTTCACTCAAAAAAAAGTGCTCAAAAAAAGTGCTGATGTGTGTACCAGAGCTGGAACTCCCTCTTGTGGAAATTGGATCTTCTCCTAAGCTTTTTAAATGTGAAATTGTCATTTGTGTTGCTAATGCCTAGAGATGCACAGATGCTCCCCAGAGTGTAGAAATTTTTAAAACCTATTTTTAAATGTCTATTAGAGATAGCTTTTTGGGTAACACAGTTTGTATATTCAGGGTTTTTTTTAAAAACAGTGTGGTGAGGAGGCTGAAGGAAGTAAACTCAAGAAATTAGTATTTTATTCCTGACTGTCTCTCAACTGGCAGTGCTTTGCCTTCCAAGTCTGTGAAGTGCTTTGCTGGCCTTATTTCTTGGCAGAAGACTAAATGGATGCTTGAATTGCTTTCTGTATCATAAGCATTAAGAGTCCCTTTCTCAAGGCTCTTGGGTGTAGTATGGGTGAGTCAAAGCATTTGCATTTTAATTTTTTGCAATGTGCCATGTAAATCATGAGGCACTAAAGCCTGGTCAGCACTTGTCACTAATCTACACTGAAAGTTTGTTTCAGAGGACCAGACTCTTAATTTGAACCATCCACAGCAGAGCTATATTTGAACACCAGTATTTCTTTAAAAATAACAATCCTCTTTTCATTGCCTGTCTCTGGGGCTGTCAGGTTTTGCATGCGTTCTGCTTGCCTGGAGGTAGGGTGTAAAAACTATGCCTGTGTGTCAGGTGTAGTGACCTAGAAACGCAAGGCTAAAATAAGATAATGTAAACAGCTGCTGGCTAGTTTGTTATATTTTTTTTTTCCCTGCTGCTCTTTTTTTTCTTATCTAAAAAGAGCTTTCCAGTCCCCAAACAGATCAATGGAAATGTAATATTTTGAAAATGTGCCCTAATTATACTTTTAAAATAATGCTCATTCAGTAAATACATTTTATTTATTTAAGGCATTTTGAAAGCTGTTTATAAATTTGGAGAGCACAGTGCTTCCTTAGCCTTCAGGCATTGTTTTTCACTGTTACCTCTGCATGCCCAGCTTTTGTTTGTCCTGCTTTGGACCACGGGATGTTCTTGATAGATGTTCTATTAAATTTTGGATTATTGCAGTGTAAATGACACACGAGGAGTCCCAGCACATAACTGAGCATTAGAGTTATTATGTTCCCTAATTCCTGAATAGGTTTATTTCCAGTGCATACATTTATTTTTTTTTTATTGTGAATAGCAGAGCCAACAAAATTTGTCATCCAGGAGACTTTTATCTTTGAGACTGCTGTGTGCCACCACAAAATCCCTGTGCATCTTGGCTACCTTCACTGACTGGCCAGCTCTGATGGGAAATTGTCTGTACCTTCTGACATATCTAGAGCTGTTCAGCCAGTTGCCTTTTGCTAGGTGGAATGGACAGCTTTAGTTTTCCAATACTCTGAAGGTTTAGGGCTCTTTTTGGTTCTACCCAACATTATCTGTAGAAATTATATCTTTGAAACTTGTATCTTTTGATCAGAATTGTTTGAAGCTGTTCAGTGGATACAAGGCCAGTGTGACTAGAACTGGTGGAAACTGGAAAAGACAAATGTCAGCAAGAATACGTTAAAATTTCCTCAGAAAGCCAGGATAAAATGTACATCTTCAGTTTATAAGCAGTTTAGTATTTTCTTCTGTTTGTGTTATTCTGTCTTACCTTGTGAAAGTTGGTGAACGTTTTGCTGCTCTTTGGAATTGATTGGCATGGAGCTAGTCTCATGTTTCAGGATCATTGCTGTGATGATAGAAGTGACAAATTTCTTCCTTGCTCTTCTTTTTGCTTGCTCTTTCTGCATCTTTGACAGGTTTCTTCATGGTCATTTGAACTTTCCCAAAGTTGTTTGTAGAGTTCTCTGTGGGAAGTATGGCTGGAATTGATAGGAGTTTCCTTTTGCTTTACTGATAATGTGCAAAATATTTCTGTACAGGTAGAAGAAGGCTGGTGGAGTGGAACACTAAATGGCAAGACAGGGATGTTTCCTTCAAACTTTGTGAAAGAATTGGAGTTGCCAGATGATGGAGAAACACAGGACAGTCTGGATGACACAGGTGGTATTCTGTTCTGTTGTAAACCCTTAGCAAAGAAATTTTAGATCTCAGGTACAATTTGGAGTATTATGGTTGTAGTACAACAAAACAGTAAAGAATTTATACTTCCAAATTATGGTAAGTATATAATTGCATTGTAGACAATGTTCAGATGGAGTATCAAGATCTTGCTCTAAATGCACTTTCAGTAAAATTGCAGTCAAGGTCTTAATCTTGCATATATATATTTTGCATTTTATCACTAGAAATTTTACCATATTCAGAATTGAGCTTTTTTTTAGTATTGCATATAAAAGTATTCCTCTGTTTAATAGCTTTTTTTCAGTCCCATTTTTACAGGGTGAGGATGGAAAGTTTAAACAATTATGTCAGTTGAGGATTTAAACTTGTCTTGAATCAAAGCAAATATAGTGAACCTCAACTTAAAATTAATCCTGGGAAGGGGCCTCTGCCTCTTTATTGTGTTTTAATCTAACAATCAAATGTTTTAAAGGCAGTATTTACATTTTTAGCCATTCTTTTGTGGCTGTGACTGTACAGCTCAGGCAGAAGTAGATGGTTTGTGGCTGAACAGTAGCTGAGTGCTGAGGGTGCCAGGCTAGGGCATTCTTTACAGGCAATTACTTTGTTCTCTTGAAATTGCACTTTAGAGGCATTCTGTGTGAAGACCTGTTTGTGTGAAGACTTCAGACTAGTGATATGATACTGCTGGCATGGGGATGTTCTTTAGGAGCAACATCTTAAATTCAGCTAATCGATGCTTAGACAGTTGTGTAATGTTCCAGGGAAAATGTGATCTATTTTCTTCTTGTAGCAATATGCACCCTCCTTTGTCAGATGTACAGTATTGATTGTGTTTAGCAAGGGTTTGCTCAGACACAAGGAAGAACTGCACTAGTGTAAAACAAGAGTTGTTAGACTTGAGCAGTCCCAAAGAGCTCAGTGGCTGTCTCCATGGAGGTTGAGTCCCTGGAGTTTAGTGGGGGCTGGTGAGGTGAATTTACAAATGGGTATGTGTTGGTCTTAATTCCTGAATACTGAGATCGGTTGGACTGAACAGTAATATGAAGTAATTGTATTTTCTGTTGGTAACTAACAAGTTATGGTTTTTCAGCCCTTCACCCCCTCAGAGGTTATATTTAATGTTCAGTAATTTCACAGTGAGAATCTCGTGTATCTGATGATTCTTTCCATGCTCCCAGAAAACAATTGATGCCCTGTCCACTGAGCTATGGTCTCTCAAACATGCAACCTGGATCTTTCTCATCAGTGAATTTTTTAGCTGTCCTTTTAGATATCTAAGAGGAATATAATAACTAAGTGAAGAGTGACTCAGTGGAGGAAAGGTGAGAAACTGAAGAGGCTCTGTAACTTTGTGATATCGTCAAAACCCCTTTAAATTATGCCTGGGGGAAGAGGGTTTAATCTTTATTGCAATTCCCAGACCTGCATATGCTGGGAAGAATTTAACTGAAAAGCTCAAAGATGTGGATGCTATTTTGAATGTGGTTTATAAAAGCTGTTTATTTTCACAACTGTCTCCTGGCATTCTACACATGGAAATAGTTTGCCCATGAATACTAGTTTGTGGGTTTCAACAGATTTGACTGTAACTTAAAGTATTAAAAAAATGCATTCTTAAAAGCCTGTAACACCTACATTAAGTTCTCTGAGCTATGTTTTTTAGGGGACAATGTTGTCCCTTAAAACAGAAAGATTAAAATAATCTTACATACTTGTTATCTACCAGTGATTGATCTCAAACAACTATATCTGATTTGAATATCTAAATTATTTAAAACAGATTTAAAGTGTTATCAGGTTTAAAACCTGTATACATAAATTTGCAAGAAACTCTCTTCAGGTATTTTCAGTAGTGCATTTTGAGCAATAAGAGAATTTCTCTTGATTCCTCGTGAGGCATCACTAATACTGAAACATACTGGTTTTTCTTCTGGCTGTTGAAAGATGATACAACTCTTTATGGACCTTTATTGCTTTCAGCAACTCTAGCTATGCAAATGACAAGCTTTTAAATGTTGGACTAACATTCAGAGAATGCCTAAGCAATATTTCGTGACACTAATGGAAAACAGAACGTTGATATTAGCAAACTATGGAGCCTCAGTGGTAATTGAAATAGCAAGAAATATTAGTGATCTAATTACTTGGTTGCCAGAATGTGTTCAGTGTAATGTTGGTGTCATTTCAAACGGTCTTATGTGAGATATTGCACCTACAATAGTGTTCCTAGAAAAACTGTTGAGCAAGAGCAGTGCATACAGCCTTGTTACTTCCACTTTTTTTTTCCCAAGAAAAGCAAATAAATAAATTCAGGTATTAAAACAACTTTTTTTTTTTTTTTAAACTATCAGAGTCTGTTTTCAGTGGTCCTACCTCACCTGTAGTGTCTCCAGGAAATGGGAGTGAACCTGGATCTGGTCCAGCACAGCCAAAGAAAATCCGAGGTGTTGGGTTTGGAGATATTTTTAAAGAAGGCTCAGTGAAACTTAAGACAAGATTATCCAGTAATGAATCAGAAGATAAAAAACAAGATAAGGTTTGTAGCAGTTCATGTTGGTTTTGAGTTTCCTGTAAAAATAACGTAAAAGGTCTAGAATCAGAAGACATAATATATTGTAGAAGCAGAATGCACTGGCTATTTAAAATTTTGTCTGTATTGTTCCATAATAATCATCATCATCATCTTGTAGGACTCATGCCTGTACCAAAATAATTCTCCTCAAACTTCATTTGTTGTAAATTTTATATTTAAGATTGATTCCATAATGTCTACTCCAAGACCTTGGTGTTTAAAACAATAGAGAGGAAAAATGTGGTGCAAGACCTCATAGGTTCTCAAGCACATCTAGGTCTTCCTGTGCAAGTTAAACTTGGACTTTAATATAGTTTCTTTAATGTTTGGTTTGGAAGATCTCTGCAAGTTTGAGTTGGTTTTGAGATTGCTGGTCTAGGTCCCAGCTGTCATAACCAGTGTAAATGTCCTTCAGTGAATTCTGCTAAGCTTCTGGGTTTGGTGGTGTCTTAGGTTAATGGGCTACATAAACTGCTGATTGTGTAAGCCTGAAAAATACTGTTTGCATCCTCTTTCATTTTCTTTTCCCCTTTTTTTATATGTGGAAGAGGAACACTCTTGAGAATCAGAGATTGAACTTAAAGCCTAGGAGACAGATAAAGCGATGATAGTGAAATTGCTTTAGTTGGAGTTTTATTTTGATTTGAACCTGAGAGAACTCTTATCCCTTGGAAGCACAAGTGCAATGCTCAGTCCTTTGTCTTGAATTTATGGCACATTTATACCAGGATTTTCAGCTTTTGATAAAGGCAGCTGAGATAATCAAGTGTTTCAGTTTTTACTCAGGTTTTCAGATCAAGAAAGCTTTTAAAACCTTTGTCCAATTTCAAGTTTTTGTCAGTGGGCTAAGCTCATTAATGCTGTTTTGCTGACTGATTTACTTTCCTCTGCTGCTACAGAAATAATAGTAATGTTGCAGGGCAAAATGTTGCAGTGGTCATCCACCTGTAGACATGGTGTATATCCTTTTTGTTTCTGGTCCAGTCAAAACACCAGATGATTAAAAAAATCAGAGTTACAAGGGTGTCATCTTCTATTTAAGGCTTGGAGAATGTTATTTCCTAAGGAAGATTATGTTCAGTTTGGCTGGTAGAGCTAGTTTAATAGAGTTACGTTAGAGGTTGGACTGGATGATTTTGCAGGTCTTTTCCAACTTGAACGTTTCTATGAGAAGAGAAGGCTCCAGGGAGACCTTATTGTGTTCTTTTGGTATATCAAGGGAGCTTGTAGGAAAGATGGAGAGAGACTCTTGACTGAGGTTGGTGATAACATAACGAAGGGCAATGATTTTAAACTGAAGGAGGGTAAATTTAGATTGGATGTAAGGAAGAAAAGAGGTGTAGAGCCACAGGAACAGGATGCCCAGAGAAGTTGTGGATGTCCTGTCATCGGAAATGTTCAAGGTCTCAGGTTGAATAGGGTTTTGAACAATGTGATCTTAGTGAAAGATATCCCTGTCCATTTCTTTGGTTCTCTCCAGGCTTTGTTTCTTGGAGTCTGTGGGATCACTACATCTTTGTGTGAATGCTGTTAGACCAGAGTTTCAGGACATAGCTTTCAATTTGCTTTCTTGTCATGAGATTGATCATTCAGACATGTGTTTCCCTACCTTCTGCCTTGTAATTTAGGAGTATAAAGAGCCTATCTGCAATATGTTCAATTATTGTGAGGTCTGCTCAGACATTTTGAATTGTGTTATGTGACTGTATAAACACTGAAATATGTTGGCATTCTGTTTTCTTAGTTGGCTCATCTGGAAAGTTGTTGCGGGCTGTTTTTCAGCAAGAGTGGAAATGAAGTGAGAAAACAGTTTTGCATAGCTTAAAGACAATTAAATAAACAGTTGAATTTAGCACTTAGTATTCTACTTATGCTTGTTGCCAAAGTCATCCCAAAGGCAGATAGGCTTACAGCACAACCTGCAGAGCCCTAAGGAGATATTTCTTATAAAGGTCTTGCAAAATTGGCTGGCTGCTTTGGAATAATGTTCAGTTCTTTTTGGAATGAGATGGAGGGATGCTAGAAGGACATTCTTAGTCTTTAAGCCAGAGAAGAAAAAAGCTGTCATCAGGAAACTCTAGAGCAGAGAGGGTTGTTGTTTTGTTTTTATTTTTTTTCCCTTGGCAAATTTGGAGACAGTTCAGCACAGGAAGGCTGAACACTGATGTATCTGAAGTGCTCCAGAGTATATAGGCTCCTGCAGGAGACAGTGAGATAGGCTTCAGCTGATCCCAGCATCCTGCCTGGCTCAAGCTATTTATACCCTGTCTGCCTAAACTTCCTCACATTTCTAATTGCATCTCCTTTTGGAAGGGGGAAATGTAGAGAACTATTTCCATGTTGGACTTGTTTAATTTCATAGGTGGTTTATTTTAGTGCTTCCTTCATGTAGCATTCTGGAGTGAGTTAAATTTCATATGTACTCCAAGAACATCCCGAGTGACTGTGGCTTCCTCTGTGGTATGTCAGAGCTACCACCACCAGCCCACAGGCATCATCTGGTTTTGAGGAGAGTAAGTCTAGTTTCTCTGGCAGTAGAAGGTCTGTGAAGTTTAACTGTAAATGAAAATAAGCAGAGTAACTAAAGGCAACGGGATTCTTCCTGTCAATAATACTAGTAGGGCTGCTCAGGTAAGTTCTGTAAGTTATGGTAAGGACATACTCTGTGTTAGTAGCTGGTGAGGCTGTAAGGAAGAGGCTGCAACTGAAGCTGCCTGAATCTTTCTGGTAGCTCAGTAAGTCTCCTGGGAAGAAAAAAATGTCATAATATTGGAACAATTATTTTAGCCAGATAGTAACTCTGACATTTTTTACCAATTGTCATGCCTCTAGTTTTTTGGTTCAGGAGAAATTTAGTTGTTCTGGTTCTGTTCTGTATGAGATCATTAAAAGTGAAGGGAAGCTGGGATGGGCATTCATATGCTCAATTGTCTTGAGTAGTTAAAAACTGATTCTGTCTTCTGCTGAGGTGATGTATGGCTACTGAATATTTCTGTTTTTATTCCAGTGCAAAGTAAGTGTGGTCAGTGAGTTTCTTTCAGCAGAGCTGTTGAACAACCACTCTGTTCTGTGCTGGAGGAGGCAATTTTTGGGATAATGGAACAGTAAAACTTGAAGCTGCTGATATATGATTGCAGAAGTGTGTCTGGCAATATTCTGAGATTGCTTTCCAGTTTTGAAAGCTGTGTTGTGGCTCTAATTGGTAGACAAAGTTCTAATTGCAGTGGCTGTAATGGAGTTTAAGTACTTAATGGGAAAGCTCATTGAATCTCTTGGAGATGGACAATTGCGTCATCTCAGCTGATGAAAACCTCAGCATATCCTGTAGCCTAATCAAAAGTAAAACTCAATGGATTTTTCTTAACAAAGTTCTCTTTCATTCATACAGCCATCACCTAACCACCTCCCTGGAACAAAGCTAATTCATTTTACCAGTACAACAAAGCCTGAAAACTCACCAGAAGTAGTAAAATCAGAAGCTGAAAGTAAACCAAAAGGTAAGGCTGGTGGAGCTCGACATCCATTGCTGGGTGGTCCTCTCTAGAGACATATTTGGTTGTCACATTTTCAAATTTTGTGTATACTGGATTTCTGTGTAATGTTCTCTACCTCTGAGGAGTTACACGAATGCATAAGAGTCTGATGAAGTATTTACTTGCATTTCTGTGGAAAAGGAATCAAACCCATTTGTAGGGGTGTCTCCCAGAACAAAATAACACTCCGGTATGAAGTTTTATTGCAGCAGCCCCTTTGCTACATTGATGTGCTCAAACTGACTTAATTTCTGCCTAGCTTTTACTGTTCAGCTGGGATGCTGGAAATGTATTGCTACAGAGCCAGCCCCCAAGCTTAGTTTCTGTCTTTAGGCTATAGAAGTGACTCTCTAAGCTCAGATTTACTGTGGAGTTGCTGGTGTGTTGTCATAACTGTATGCAAAGTTTCTTGCATCAGAAAGTTGGTGCTTATGTCTCATTGAAGTCTGTTCCCTAGTTAATACATTTACACTGTGGTTCTGTTTATAATACATTCATTTTTCTTTTTCTTTTTTATACTATCTCTGATTTATGACTTCATTTAACTACCAAATTACATCATTTTATCTAGAGTCATATTTGCAAGTTAATCCAAAAGACCTTGTGGGAGTGCCAACCCCATATAAAAAAAATGAACCTCAATTATGTGATGTGTGGACAGCTCATTTCACCTAGTTCCAGGGCAGACTTGTAATTTCAAGTATATTTTTGTTCTGTGAGGAAATACCTTATTTTGGTGTAAGTGGGCAGTTTGACATGTAATGCATAATTTGCAGAAGTAAGAAAACTGCAACAAACAATAGACTTCAAGAGTTGTGGAATTAGCACAACAAAGGCACTTGAAGTGGCAGGTTTGTTAGTGAGAGCCCTGTTTGTAGCTGTGGCAGTGCATAGGGCAGCTGTGCCATTTAGCCCTATTTTGGCTTTGTTGAATTGGATAGCTCTAAAGAGAATGACCATGTTTACAAATGAGTGTTGCTCTCAAGAAGTGTTTGATATCATGGTTTGAGAAGAGTTAATACTTAAGCTTTGCTGTTGCAAAGCATGTGCCCAATGTTTGTGTTATGCCTTAGATGAACATCAATGCACACATACCTAGAGCATGCTGAGTTGGAAGGGACCCATCAGGATCATTGAGTCCAACTCCTGTGCCTGTGTAGGGCACCCCAAGAATCACACCATGTGCCTGAGAGCATCATCCAAATGCTTCTTGCACTCAGGCAGGCTTGGTGCTGTGACCACTGCCCTGGGGAGCTTGTTCCAGTGCTCAACCACCCTCTGGGTGAAAAACCCTTTCCTGATATCCAACCTAAGCCTCCCCTGATTCAGCTTCCTGCCATTGCCCCAAGTCCTGTCACTGGTCACAGGAGTGAAGAAATCAGGACCTGCCCCATCTCTTCCCCTTGTGAGGAAGCCACAGACTGCACTGAGGTCACCCCTCAGCCTCCTCTTCTCCAAGCTGAAGAATCCAAGTGACCTCAGCTGCTCCTCACAAGTCATCCCTTCCAGACCCTTCACCATCCTCATGGCTCTCCTTTGGACACTCTCCAACAGCTTGATGTCTTTTTTTCTATTGTGGTGCCCAAACTTGCACATGGTACATACTTACATGCAACTTGGAAATCTTTACTAAACAGCAAATTTGGGGTAGAATTAGAATATTGCTTTTAAACCATTCTAGTGCTATTGCTGTAGGAGCCATCAAGGCAGTGTGCAACCCTGAGCTTTGGGAAGTTTGACTTGTCTAAAACTTTGTGTAAAAATTAGCACAGGTCTGCCTAAAAAATGTGGATCTTCAGTACTGAACACTCAACTTTCAGTATTTATCTTTCCATGATTTCAGCTGCATTTTATGCTAAAAGCATAGAAATTGGGCTAATCCAGTGGCCATGCTGGGTCTCTGCTCCCCAGAAAAATGACTTCACAGGAGGGAATGTATAGGTGACAATGATAGATGCTGTAGGAGAACATCAGTTGAAAATACCTATAGACACCACTTAAGAACATCTTATAACCTTTGGAAGAAAGCTTATTTTCCTTCCTTTGTGTTTTTATTTCAATATAGATCGTATTATAGTTTATGAATGTCATCCTCAGTTTTGAAGGGAGCAAGTTTAAAATAAACTATGTTCAATATGTGAGCAAATGAACAGAGATCTCCAAAATGTCTAGTGTGGCTTATTTTGCAGTGTGACTGCTGTTTCTGGGAAGCTTGTTTTGGCCTCTGGTGCAATTATGTCCAAGTATTTAGTTTAAAAAATAAAATTATCACAATTTGACCCCCTTTCTCCCCATTATGTCAGAATACATCATCTGTGATTCCTGGTACTGTATTGTTAGTCCTGAGTCTTTGGAAAATCTTTGATTTTAAATTTCCTTTTATTAAAAATATTTACTGAAGTTCAGATTTGCTGTTTTGAAAATACCATCTTAGACTTAAATGCTGGGAAGTTGAACTGGACTCTTCATCTTAACTACAGACAGAATATAAGGCTCAAATATAAGGCTCCCCTCCAGGGAGGGGGCATCCACAACCTCCCTGGGCAACCTTTTCCAGTGCTTTCATACCCTCATGGTGAAGAATTTCTTCCTGGTATCTTACCTAAATCTCCCCTCTTTCTGTGTGTGGTTTTTTTTGGTGGTTTGTTGTTTGTTTGTTCATTTTTTTTTTAATTGAATATTTATTTTTCTGAATTAGTTTTTTTAGTCAGTGTGATAGTATTTTTTCCTGTATGTCGCATCTATATTTCAGCATTTTTGATCACTAAAAATGGCAGTAAAATAATGCAAGTTCTTGAACCTAGGATTACTCATGTGGTTACATATCTATGTATAAGGGTTCAAGGGCAGGTTTGATGGGGGTTGGAGCAACCTGGTCTAGTAAGAGGTATCCCTGTCTAGGCGAGGGGGTTGGAACTAGATGATCTTTAAGGTCCCTTCCAACCCAAACCATTCTATAGTATATCTGTCTCAAGCTAGATGTACTTTTGCATTTTGACAGTGGTTGGCACTGACCAAGGTAGATTTTTATTTAACAATACAATTTGTGCATTCTTCTAACTACAAAACACACAAAACAGCAGCAGAAAGATTCAGCTGTGGTTTGCTCATTTATTTTCTTACCATCCAGCAAAAGGCAGTTGTTAATGACTTGTCCTTTTGTTTGCTTCCTCTTCCTTCATCTGTCAGTTACAAAACCCCAGCCTTTTAGTCTGCTAAATAATTTTAGATGTGCTGGGGTTAAAAGAGGTGCCAAAAACGCTTTGCAGTCAGGACTTCTGTTTTCATCTATTTTGGCTTTTCTGGTGTTGTTTTTGTTGTAGCGTGGGAAAGGAAAGCAAATCCTCTTGCATTTTTACCTCAAATAGTTATCACAATTGTAAATGGATTAATTATTGAACTGTACCAAATGGCCAGAAAGAAATTATTCTTTCTACTTTTCACAGAAGAGGCTGTGACTGTCTGAATTGATCTCTCAGGCAAGCTCTGGTTTCAGGTGCTTAGCCAAGGAATTCTTTTGCTTCAGTCACTTGATTTCACTGTAGAATTTCAGCAAATGTGCTGCTTGGGAAGTTTCTGTAATTTCTGCTAATGGCATTTGTTTCATGAAGATTGCAAATTGTAGATAAATTAAAAAAAAAAAAGTCTTTTAAACTCTCAATAAAAAGCTTGAAACAGCTTTTGTCTGAAGTAGCTCAGTTGTACATACAATGCTATGGGGAGGGTTAGATGGGGTGTTACAATTTGAATTGTTCTCCCTCTGAAGTCAGAGTACTTGAATTAAGTTGCAGTTGTGGATAAAATGTTTCAGAGCTGGAACTTTTGACTTCACAAAGATTTATCTCCATTGCTCTGTAAATGTCTTAATTGTGATCCAAATAGCATAGTGCACCTTTTGCAGAGCAGTCTCAGGTGGCTGGTCTAGAAGGGAAGTATGATCGTAGTGACAATCTCTGAGCTCTGCTTTCAGACAGCACAAGTTGCTTAGTGTTATGTTTGTTACTACCCATGGTATGGAAGTGTAGTAATTGTGCTGCTTTGTTTCAGCCAAGGAATATTGCAGGACAGTAGTTTCCTATGAAGGCTCAAATGACAAACTCAGCTTTAAAGAAGGCGAGATCATCCAGATAATCAGTAAGGTAAGATGTTCTGTCTGCTCTAACCATTTAGTGAGTTTTTGTGTGTTTTGTGCAGGTAGGTAATGTGTAAAATGTGAAATAAGTGGAGTCTGTTGGGTTGGATATGCCTTTAGACTGACTTGTCTTGGGTGAGTGTCAGCTCTTTTCTTCTGCACTCAGTGGAGATACATGTGTCCTTAGAGATTGTTCCAGAGTGGAAAGTTATCTTGGATTCCTCAAAGGGCAGTCAGATTAAGTATATACCCAGTACCAAATGCCTTTTCAGTGAAGAAATTGGAAAAGCTTGTTGCAAATAGCCCTTTTACCTTCAGAATTTGTACTTTGATGATATAGCAGGCTGACCTAGAGGTGGTGGTTGGAAAGTACTAATGTGTCAAAAGGTGGGAAATGAAGATCTATACTTACTGATTTTTATCTAGGTATTATGAAAAAGACTGAGCCAATGTTTTGAGTAGAAGGATGAAGCCTAGGTGTTAGAGATGCTTGGTATTTTGGAGAAACCATACAGAAGTTAATGGTTCTGTCTGGCTATTCAGAGAAAGATGGTTATTTAGTTGGTTATTTCTATTTGTTTTTAATACTGAAAACCCTTTTTTGAAAGATCATCTTGTTGCAGAGATGGTTTTTAAGAAGAAATGAACATACCCATACTGAATTTTCCTGCACTACTGTTTTGTTAGTTACTGTTTACATGCTGCAATACTAAAGGAATAACAACCTGTCTAAAAAAAGTGCAGTTTCTTTTTTTATTTTTCTTTGTTTTCAGCTTTCACCTTTTATTTTCAGCACTAATCACCTATTCAGGTCTTCCTCTTGCCAATTCCTCCTTTAGTTTAATGTAAGGTGGGATTTTTTTCTTAAAATTAGTTTTTAGTTTATTTTTCTCCCTTTCCTTCTACCTGTCCAGTGTTTCAGCTGAAACGAGTGCCAAATTGTTGTTCTTGTGTAGTAAACTTCAGATGAGTTACTTGATGCTGTTAACAGTGGCACATCACCAGTAATCCACTTAGACTTGTGTGGAACACTGACATCTGCAGAGTTTTGGATCTGAGACACAGAGAAAAGCTGATATTTGTACTGTTAAAATACTCAAATCATGTCATACTTTCTGTTACAGACAAGCTAAGGCCTTGATCCAATAAGATCATGTAATGGATTTCTGTGTCAGTGAATTAATAGTGCATTTATTTTTTCTTATGTCTTAATGTGGTTATTTTTTCCCTCAGTGAGCTGTATGCTCTTGCTTCTTTACCCTTTTCAGATAAGTAGGTCTCATGAATCAGATCAGAATCATTTTTATTTAGTATATTATGTATTGCTCAAATGATCCTTGAAGTGTTTATTGAACACTTATTGGTCAAGGAAGTTGAGAATATTGAATGTTGTGCATTGGGTTTGTTTTCCTGCCCTTTGCAGCTCTTATCCTTATACCTTTATCTTATATATGATGTAATATAATTTCATCCTTCTTTTTAGAAAACATACATAAATTGACCAAGCCTATTCCCATCTGTAGCTGTTTTCCCTTGCTCAGGTGGCCAAAGTCTTATAAATGTGGTGTTTCAGACAAACAATTGTTTTATGTTGTAGGTAAAAGCAAAAACATTGTTCCTGTAGCTGTATCAAATCAATACAGATTAAAATATCCTGTTGTTTATTTTAGGACACTGGAGAGTCGGGCTGGTGGAAAGGAGAACTGAATGGTAAAGAGGGAGTCTTCCCAGATATTTTTGCTGTCCAAATACAAGAGTCTGATAAAGACTTCCCTGTAAGTTTTTATGTGTGTCATTTAGTATCAAAGCAAAGTATTGATGGAAATGCAGGAAATAAAAGCTTCACGGCACATTATGCTGTGAATATTAATACAATTGTGGCAGTTTTATCTTGAGTTAGTTATATAACTTCATCCTGAATTAGTTATATCGAAGAAAGGTTAATGTTCGTGTTGAACTTCTTAACTATTACATAGAGCCATGCTTTTCCAGACTAACTGTAATTAATGAGGATGATTATTTTGTAGAAAAGGATATAGTTCTGATAATGTGGTGTTATATGTAACTGATTCCTGAATTAAACGCTTGCTGTGCTGAAGGGAGATAAGCAGTCAGTCTCTTCCATCTGTAGTCCTGTAAGTAATTAGAACTGCAAAATGCTGAATGACCCCCATGGCACTGACTGGGATTTTCCCATGTTAAGACTTGGCAGTAGTTGGCAATGCACGAAGGATAGTTTTAGGTGGGATCTAGAAATAGTTTTTGTCACCATCTCATGTGCTAACTCATGTCAGTCCGTGTTTTTGTGTGGTACTTCTTGCTCTTGTAATTTTGGTTCATATTTTAGATTATTTTTTTTTTTGGTTGAGGTTATTGTGATGTTTTGGTTCTGACAAGTTTGTGTAGCAGAAATGGCTGTGTTAATCCAAAAACATTGATCATCCTCAGATGGGACAGATCCAGGTGCAGATGAGGACATGTAAGTGCTGAAGCTTGTATCTCAGCAGAGCAGAGTTTCAGTTTCGTAGTAATTTAGTGACATTTGGTTTGGAATTGAAGATATTCACAGAGGATTTCTAGATAGAACCTGACAGTTATTAGCAGTTAACCTCAGTTACCTGACATAAACAGAATGTCTGAATACTCCAAGTCAGTGTGTTTTGTTTTGTTTTTTCAAATTGATTCTGAGCTTTACAAGGATGACATGGATACCCTAACACAGGACTGGTTTGATTTGAGGGGTGAGTGGGCAGTGTTGCTGGTCTGCAATACAGAATTGTTCCCTTGAGAGAGAGAAAACAATGGTTCTTTAGCTGTAAACGATGTTTCCTGTGGACAGACCTTGCTTTCATCTTGCTTTTCACCTTGCACTAGGCAACTTTGAAGTTCAGGGCATTGGATGGCTGGTTATTGTGATCAGCTATTTGATACTGAGTTAATAAAGCTGCAAATCAGAATCATATAATGGCAAGTTGATGCTGAACTCTCAGCTTAATTATTTCTGGTGTAGGCAGCAGTACTGCACAGCTGGATAATGTATTTGCTTTTTTTTGGGAAGGAAGTAACAGGCTTGTTATCTAACTTCTCTAGCTTTTATGTTCTCTGACACTAGAGAAAGAAATGTGATAGGGGTTTTCATTACAGTTTTCATTAATTACAGTTCACTTGTCAAAAGAAAATCTTTCTGTATAAAGAAGAGCTTATTCAGTACTGATAGGGGCACAGAAGTGAAATCCATCCATAGCAACTGTTTAAAAAATACCCACTACAAGGAATTTCTGGATGTGCTTTATTAGACCAAGCTCACATGGTTTCTGCAGTATTTGTATAAAGAACAAGTTTCTTTGTAGGCTTTTGTGATAATTTTTTTCAGTGAGTCTTGTCTTTGTTCCTTGTCCCAAAAACAAGGACACTTGTTCTACAGCATATTAATGAATTGGATTCTGAGGATGAGGTGGGTTGAGATGTCTGACCTGAGAGGTGCCACTACTCCTTCAGCAGGAGACAAATTAAAATTCAATTTTACCAGTTTAAGGAAGTAATAAATGACTGCATTTCAAAATAGTTATTGTATGAAGTTTATAGTATAAACACATTGGGATGGACTGCCCAGGGAAGTGGTGGAGGCACCATCCCTGGAGGTGTTCAAGGAAAGGCTGGATGTGGCACTTGGTGCCATGGTCTGGTGATGTGGTTGTGTTAGGTCCTAGACTGGACTTGATGATCTTAAAGGTCTTTTCCAGCCTTGGTGATTCTGTGATTTTCAGTGTGCAAACTGCAGCTCTGGAATACTTTTCAAATTTTTGATGGCTAGTTTGTCCATCTTTCCCACTTAAATAGACTGTGATAAGGAAGCTCAACAAATGTTTTTGCTGTAGCTACAGTGTTTAAGTTGCAAATGCTGCTGCTGTTTCTTACTGTTGTAATTTAAAAGTCAATGGATTGAAATAGTACTTCTGATACCTAACTTAGAACCTTTTTTTTCTGATGGAAATTACTTTTTTTTGGCCTCAAATGTGTACCTGATTACTCTTTTAAGCTTCTGCTCTACTAAGAGCAAGGTTTACATACTGAAATTAAAATGAGCTCAATCAGAGCAATTCTTTGGACGAGAAAAGGTGTCATTCATAGGTTTTAGTTCTTTGTATCTTTCATGCTTATGTGCATTGCTGAAACACTCTTCTGATTCAAAGAAACCTGCATTTTGTTTCTGTTCTTGTAACTAGTTGTCTGGGAAATATCAGAGGAGTTACTCCAGTTCTCTGTGTTTCCTGACTGTGAATTGATTGCCTCCTTTGTTAAATACTTTGAAATCTGGTAGTAAACAAACTAGACATTACAGTATGCAAAACAAAACACAGTTAAGTCAATCTTTGATAGAGAATATCTGTTTGTTTATTTATGATTTTTGTTGTTTTTTTTTTTTTTTTTTCATTCTGCAGAAGTCAAAGAAACCTCCACCTCCAGTTAAAAGTCCAGGTACATAGTATATGCATGGCAGTATGTGTCTGAGGAAATACTACATTTCAGAAGCAGTGTATGACTTCAGAAGAAAATTTAAAAGTAACTTCATATTTCCTAGTAATGGTTGGAAATTGGTAGCTGCACCAATAGTCTCCATTTGAGGTTACTTTTTATGCTTTATATATTTTGCTGCTGCTATATATATGTTATGATGGAGTGTAATTTGGAAACATTTAATACAGGCTTACCCTTTTCTGGGCTCAAAAGAGTGTTTATAAATAGTATTACACTCCTTGCAAAATTGAAAATATAAACACAAATTGATGTATGTCATATTTTTAGTTAGTGACTAGATAATTAAAGCTCTTTGAGAAATGTCTCTGGTTTGTTTTTGCATTCAGCTCCAAAGCCTGAATTGCCAGCTGGGGAGAAGAAATTCTCTCCTTGGAGGCCTGAAGAAAAAGGTGAGACCAGTTTTCTTCATAGTTAATTTCAGATTTATAAACAAGTTTGAGATGTTAGTTTGGCTGCTCTGTGCCATAGGTGCCAGTCTGGAAGACATCATACAGATTCTCTTTGTACCATCTACCCAAGTTCTGATGTCTGTGATGTTGTGGAAATGTATTTAGAGTAATTAAACAACCACACTTTTAAGAAATGTGTAATTCTTCTTACTGCATTGCATTCTGAAAAATATTTGTTTCACAGCATAGTAATGTAGTTACTGCTTAATTAAACTAAGTGTAGTTCTGTGATAATGTCTGCAGTTTTGAACAGTAAGTTGTTAGAAATGAAAATGTTTGCTACTCCTTTTGAATGTTTTAGCCAAAATCAATCAGATGGAGAAAAAAGAAAGAAAGGAATGAAACAGTAACAACACAGTCACAATGCTCAGAAATTGATTTCTTGTCCTATTAATTCTTGTTATATTAATTCTTGTTATATTCCATGTTTTCCAGCTACACAGAATTTGGAGGTGCTTACCACTTTATTCTTAAAATTTAACGGGTGCCTTTATTTCAGAATACAAGCTACTTTTATCACCTAAACACGTCTAAAGTGCTTATTGTTGTGTTTGAAAAACTGGGTGAGGGAAGCTGTTAAATTGTTTTGACTGTGTAAAAAGTCAGAAGATTAAACAGGCATGCTGGTTGGGTCTTAAGAAATTCTGATGTTGCTACATCTTAACCATATTGCAAAAACACTGTTCCCTGAATAGTGAACTGTGGGTGACTGTAGCTAAACAGCATGTCAACCAAAAAGCCTGCTTGATGGGTTTCTTGGCTTCCTTGGGCAGTTTTAATAACCCACATTTTAATCAAAGCCTGTTCTCAGGTGTTTCATATGAAGAATGTGAGCAAACAAATCATTCCTGTATGTTGAAACAGTATTTTCAGGTGTGAATAGAGATCAACTGTATTATTCGAGAAATTTTGATCAATTGCCTCTTATAAACTTATAATAAACTGAAATTTAGTTTTAGACTGGTTCTATTCATGCTGTAGTGTTAACCTTTGCATAGTTGAGTTCAGCTGTTCATGGAGGAGTTTAGGAATGTGACATCATCCAAAATCCTTACAAACATGAAAGCTTCTGAAAAATTACGGTCGTGTTACTGTTCTTTACTGTGGCAAAGGAAATGATGAAGGAAAAATTTGCCTTGTATTCATTAAAGGTCAGGTCTTAGAAGTTCCTTCTTCACATAGCAGTACTGTTTTACTAGAAGAGATGCCCATTTACCAGGACAGTTTTACTTGTAGGAGAAAAACCAAACATGTTCATACTAGTGATTCAATTAATTAGTGTGTACATTCATTGAACAGCTCTAATTAGAAGCTATCGAACCGTGTAATTTTAAAATGCCTATTGGGAGACTAATACATCTGTCTTTGTGATAAAAAAATTAGTAAAAAATTAAAAGCAATACTCCTGTGTTTCTGTATTTATAGTGAAAGACACTTAGTGGTGTAATACAGAAATTTTTGTCCAGTGTAAATGTCTCCAGACTAGTGTTTTTATTTCCGTTACTGAACTGCTCATTTTTAGCCAACCCTGATCTTTTTCATTGCCAAGCAAAATCCAGAAAAGACTCATGCCATTTTGTCTGTGCTCATGATTAATATTAACCTTTGGTATTAACTTTTTCCACTTAGTTCTGGACCGTTTTTTATATTGAGATTTTGTGTGGGAGTAATTGAAGGGAAAACTGACATGATAATTCAGGGATACGATTTGACGGCAGCATTTTTTTTCTGCCCTATTTATGAGCTCCTCCTTAAAAACAAAAGGTATAACTCTCACCTTGTGTTCAGCACACCTAAAATAAAGCTGTTTGATGAAGGAATAGTAACTGCTGTAGGACATTTAAGCTTTAAATCTTGCGAAGAGGTTCAGTAGGCACAAGTGGCTGTTAAGAAGCTGTTTTTCAGAGGACAGGCAGCACCACCCTGTGGCAAAATTCTTCCACTACTTCAGTGCTTTATTTTCTTAACTCTCTGCTAAGAGAGGCTGGAAGGTGATGCCGACCAGCTTAGTTGTTTTTTTTTTTACTTCATCTCTTCCAGTGTTCAAATGTCCCGAAGCAGGATGGTGATTCTGCCCTAGATCATGTTTTTTTGATCAAGTATCTGTATTTCTGTGAAGGAAAATGGGTGTTTTCCCATTTTACGGCAGAAGGGCTGACAGTGGCTGCAGGACTTGTCCAAGGGATGTCAGTCATAGACCTGACAGTGAAGACACTTAGGTGAGATGGAGCCAAACCAAATTTCCAACCCTAGCCCCAAATTCTTGGACTATATAAACACTTTAGTGTAGACCAATACTTGGTTAAAAGTAAAGTCATAAGAGGGGAGGATGGGGAGAGTCAAAGCTGAAAGTCAGTATTTCCATACCAGTTTGCTGATTTATTGCCCTGTAGGAGCAGTAACTGCAAAGGACTGGAACTCCTTACTGTAACCTAGCAATAATATTTTAAATCCTCAGTGCTTTGTGCATGCCTGACTGAGCTGTAGCATAGTTTTATGAGGAAAAGTAAAAGGTATGTTCTGGATATTCCACAGGGTGTGATTAAGGAACCTGACTGAAGACTTCAGTTAACATTTGTGGAGCAGCTTGAATTTTTCAGTGTCCCATGTTTTCTATGTCAGCTCCTCTGGACAGTATTGAATTAGGTCATGCAGTCATGAACAATAAATCTAACTTTCTTGTTTAATTTTCCATACTTAATTTGTATCTTGAATTTGTTGGGAGGTAGACTTTATCCAAAACAAGTGCAGTTATTCAGATAAATATTAATTTCCCCCTGTTTTTTTCCATAGGTAAATTATGTATGTATGTAAGAAGTCTAATTACAACAAAATAAAAAAACAAATCCTACCTTTTTAAGAGGAGATAAGGTGAATTCATAGAAAAGACAAAGGATTAGCAGTACAGAGAGATTCTTTGTTCTTAGCTGTCATTTGTGGTGCAATAATGTGAATCTGTAATTCTTTACTATTGTTTCATGTCAGTAGGAAGATATTTTGCTTACTTTAACATGGTGGTTTTTAAGTTCAGGTAAGTACTTTGTGTGTTTTGATAAGGTATCACTTAAGATACTTGCATATTTTCTTTTCACTTTGATGTTCAAAGGCAGTCTTTCTGACAGCAGCTGCTTTCTAATTGATTAGTATTGCAACGATTCTAGACAACATGGGTTTTTAAAATGATGTGGTGGTGTATTTTGTCAGATGAAAAGGGAGTTTTGGATCAGAAGCCTTTGAAGCCACAAGCTCCTCAAGTACCACCCAAGAAGCCTATTCCTCCTAGCAAGACCAACAACTTACTGAGAGCAGGGCTTCTGCACCCAAAACGTCCTGATAAACCTGTTTTGCCATCATCTGTATCCAGGTCAGTATTAGTTAAATTATACACACCAAGTCTATTTTATTTGCTTTGTTTTTCTATCCATCTTCATGGATGAGGTTGGAAGAAACAAGTGTTTTAAGAGTGAAAAGGATGAAAAGGTAAGTTTTGCTCTACACGTACAAGCATCTTGGTTTTCCAAGTCTTTATCACTGTGAATTTATAACTTTCTAATTCTTCAAGAGATTTAATCCATCTCAGAGTAAGTATTACAGCAGGAGGCAGATACAGTTACAAACCTGTGGGCTGCTTTGCTTTCAGCCTGCCCCATAATGAAAAAATTATAGCTACAGTAGCAGTGTGGTGTAAAAGAATCTGTGGATGTGGCACTTGTGAATTATTATTGTGTTGGAAAAAACCTGAAGATTTGAGCTGCATCAACTTTCTTTGTTTTTTATAGAGAGACTAAGATAGAAAGGAAGATTTGGTGGTGTTAGGTCATAGGCTGGACTTGATCATCTCAGAGTTCTTTTCCAGCCTCAATAATTCTGTTACTTGAGCACAGTTAGTTCCTGTGCTAAAGGTTCTCAGTGTAGCTTGTGCTCTTCTGGGGAAGAGGCCACTTACTGCAGAGCCACATCCAGTCTCTCTCTTGAGTATACTCAGTTGAGTTACTGGACACATAAGGAGGGAAATGACAAGTGGTCTCTCACTTTTTCTGTTAGATCCACTTTAAATGCTTATTTTCACGAGTTTGTAATAGTTATTTGGGGTGTTTCACTAATTTTATATCAGTACAATCCCCCCACAGTTTACGTTTCTGCCTCAATTGAAGTATTTGCTCAGTCCTTACCCAAATCTGCAGAAAAACTGCCAACAGGTAACTATCCCTTTGGGATGTTTAGCTGACTTTAAGGAATCATGAGGAAGTAATGTTCTGCTGAACTTGGTCTTAGACAAAGAAAAGATTGGACAGCTTCTACATCAAACGAGTTGCAAAGAAAAGATTGGACAGCTTCTACATCAAATACCACCTTAAATACCTGCAAAAATAGTTTTTGTCAAGGTTTATCTTTCTTACAACAGATCCTGTCCACCTGAACCAAAAGGAAGATTATATAAGGGGACAGGACAGTGAGGAGGAGGGCAGTGGGAAAAGGGAGCCTGGGTAAGGTTCACACTCTGGACAGTTAACTTCAACAGAAGAGACTATCTAGGCTGAGCTGCCTCTGGTGCTTCTGTGCCTCTCATCCCACCCTGCACATGCTGGACAACATTGGATGCCTGACTGAAGAGTTAGATCATTGCCAGTCTACTTAGGTTTTCAGTCTGTAATTCAGTTATATCATGTGGTATTTTGGAGTTTCCCTAGTAAAGACTTTCTTCTTTAAAGCCACTGGTCATGTTCTCCTCCCTCATTTCAGAAAATGGTTACGGATATAAAGGGATGCACAGATGCACTTAACAGAAATCTGTAGTAAACTTTGGTCCTTTAATGAAAACATTCAATCTTAGGGCTATTTAAATATATTTTAAAGCCTGAAAGTTTAACATTGCTGTAGGAGGATAAGGCTGCTGTCTCTCTTTCTACTGCTGAGAAAAGGGTTTGGGAGATAAGTTAATGACAGGAACACACACTGGTAACTGGACCGTTATGCTGTGGCATAAAGGGCAGCAAGAATTGTAAAGGAAATGTAATCTGTTCTTTTGTCTGTGTGTCTTTGTTTTGGTGAGGGTTTTTTTCCTGTTTGGATGGTGTGATTAGACATGGAAAGAATGATAGAATAAAGGCCATGGATGCAAGGTATTTTCTTCTATACCTGGAAGAAGAAAAACTTGTTCTTGGCAGCTTTTTTCTTTACAGGAAGATTTTGATGTCAAGGGGTCTGAATATGTTACTGGACATTTCAAGAGCTGCTCAGCTCTCTTGTTTTCATTTGCACTGAAGTGTAGTATTTTAGATTTGAGTAGCAAAATTGTGCCCTGTAGTAAAAGCTTTGGATTATTTTTTTTGCAAGGAGATTGTACATGCTCGACAACTTTGCAAAAGCTGGAACAGAATGATTTGCTTTTATAGGAGTGGAACTGTTCTCTGAATTACTTGATTTTAAGGCCACAGAAAATAATAAAGTCTACTGCTTTTTTTTTTTTTCCATTTACTTCTAATTCTTGGTGTGATTCAGCTGTATACCATTTAATCTCTTGACCAGCTATGTCTTGTTGTTGTTTTCTTACTACAGATCTAATGGAGAAGTTGTTTCTCTTCGACCAAAATCTGAAGTTGAGCCAGTAGCAAAACCAAAGTTAGACTCAGAATCATTGCCACTTAGACCAAAATCAGTAGAGGTAGATTCACTTGTGCTAAAGAACTCTAAAGAATCAGGTAAGAAAATAAGGGTTCTTTTGGGTCTTTCTGTTTGAATTACAGTATTTTACAAGGTTAGAATAAGCTTTTTGAAGTCATTTACTCAAGATGCCGCCGAGTGCCATTTCACCTATTCAATACAAGGTGTATTTTTGAGACCTGCAATGGGTAGCTGGAGGTGTGAGTCAGCAGGTGATGGCCAGGTGTCAGGAGGCTGTTTGCAGGTAGTTGATGAGCTCTGTGTTGTAACATGACAGGAAGGGAGAAATGTAGGCAATGGTTCATTCTGCTAATTTGAAAGCCTTTTTTTTTTCGCTGCAACTTTTATCTTGCCTTTTTTTTAAATGAAATTGTTTTCCTTGCTGACTGGTTCTGTTTGCTCTGCTCTTTGCATTTCAGATAACTTTTGATTTTCTAGCTAACCTGCATATTTTTAGTAATGCCATTACCTTCAGCATCCTGGGATTAGCTTCATGGCTGTTCAAGATTATGACTTTATTGTACCTTTGGGCCAAAATTTGGGCCAGCGTGGAGCATTGTAGATTTGAATTTCATTATTACAGTTTTGCTGCACCTTGAGCCAAACCTGGTATCTCTTCAAATGTAAATTTGTCCAGTAAAAAGCCTTGATACTGGTTTAAAGCCCCCACATTGATTGGACTCTCTGAGCTGTTATTTCTCCTTTACTGACAGCACAACTGATTTGAGTCCTCTGTGTGCCTCTTAGGCAGAGATCATCTGCTGTGGGCATTTCTTTTTTTTAAACTCTAAATTATTTCTATTGTATGATTAACCACTGCAGGGAAAGCTTTAATGAATTGTGCCTGCAATGCTTGGCTCATGTATCTCAAATGCAACCTTTCATCTCAGAAAAGGTTTTAATAGTAACACATTTTGAAATAGTATAACTTGGTTTATTTTCTGTTCAGGTTCCTGAACAGGTTTCTTGCACTTCAGAGCTCCTGAAGTGTAGTAAGTTGAGCAGGGAGAGAAAAAGTAATGCATTAAAAACCTGAAACAGTTTACAAATAGTAAAGAGTACTCCTGATTTTTCCATTAAGCATTTTAAAATGTGCTTCTAAGCTTGAATGATCTTTATGAGGACATTTTAGTTCATGTGTGCATTTAATATATAAAGTTATATTTTTCTGGGCCATGAAAAGCTGGACTTCAGCAGTTACTAAAATATTCTGGAAATATTACAAATATTGTCAGAGTTACGCCAAAGTATTTATAAGTTCTTTTTTTATTCTCCAGTAAAATCTTGCATAAACTGTGATAGGCCTTGTTTTAAAGGTGTTAAATTGGCAGTTTAGCCAATCCCTTTATGTAAAGATGAGTTTGAGTGAGGGCATGGAAGAAACACTTTCAAGCCAAAGTAAGCTGAGATATTAAAGTCTGATGCACAACCCATTCTTAAAAATCTTGGCCATGTCCTTCTACTCAGACATTTATCTCTAGGATTGTGTTAGATACATTATTGTGTAGTATAATACAATTTATCCACAGGAAAAAAAACAGATGAAATGTCTTTTTTTAATTTAGGTGCAGTTACATTGACATCTTTGTAACCAGAGTGGCAACATAGTATCCATGATATTAGCTATTCATATATATGAAAAATCTATTAAAAATCTGTGAATTCTGAATTGCTAACAGAAGATTTTTATAGGCTCATGGAGAAAAATGAAAGATTTTAATACCTAGATGGGGCAAAGGACAGGGGTGCATAACAAGCAAGTGGATGAGTTCTGTTCAGTGGTCCTTGTTGGGTGCAGAGCAACTGAAAGAGGCTCAGGCAGCGTGTGCAGGGACGCAGCATTAACAGTGTCATGGAGCTGCTATTTAAGGAGAGTTTCAAAAAGCCTCTGTTATGTGAAACCTCCCTTCTTTGAAACGATCCACATAAGTCACTTGTAGTTTTACTGGTCTTGTGAAAACAGATAAGACTCAGCCTGTGCAGCAGCTAAGGCTGTATAAAGCTCCAAAGATGTTGGGTCATCACATCAATTTTAAGATTGTTTAATATTACAAATCTAGAATAGATAATGAAACATGGGGAAAATGTATGGCTGGGGTTGGTGACTGCATTACTAGACTGTCTCATCCCCCTGTGCCCTCTCCCCCAATCCTGCCCTTCTCCCTCACCTCAACTCCAACTTCAGACTGAAATCCTGAAGTGAATGGAATTTTAGAAAACAAATATGGGTCTTACTTTTTTTGCAACTTAGCTTGACCTTGAAGTGTCATGTAGGTTGAGCCACTTTCAGTTTAGCTTAAGGAGAAGCTATAAGTATTCTGTATCTATAGGAAAAAACAACCTGTGGAAATTAGACCCCTAACCATCAGATAAGGAGAAATACTCAAAAACATTCATAAAAATGGAACATGGTGAAATAACTCCTCTTAAAGCTTTATTTGAAAAAAATGCATAAATGTTTCTGTTTGATTAGAATGAAGTGCTGTAAAAGATGAAAGCTGTAATAATTAGCATGCTGAACATGTAAAGCAATTCTGTTTCTTCTACAAATGTTTCTTTTTCCTGCGTTGTAAAATAATTTTTTGGTTCAGAATCTTTTTCTAGACATTCCTCTCCTTGACTTTTCTTTCCAGATTTTGTTTCCTATCCTGTTTGCCATGTTTCCCTTCTTACGTGTCAGGAATTTACCCTACCCTTCTCCATTTTGGTAAGATAACACTCTCTAAGGAAATCCAAATGCTTTATGCCATACACATAAGCCTCTCAACATCTGAAGCATAATTTTCAGTTGCAGCTATTGATACTAAAATTTTTGGGTTTCAGCTTAAAATGCTTTTTTTTGTTTGTTTGAATGCCTGTTTTGTTTTGAATGAAGAAGTTACTTTAAGTAAACTTTTCAATTAGGAACTTGTGGGGATTTAAAAAAAAAAAAGATAAGAAAAACTTCAACTACAGCTATTGACAAACCAAACCTCTAGTGTTCATAGCAAAATGTGTTCAATACTTGTAGCACTTCAGGTGTGTGTAGGCTGAATGGCTTTCTTTCTGTACACAGAGATTATGCAGTTATGAAGCCTGTTGTCACAGAATCCTCTACTGTTGGCTCGTTAGTATCATGAGTCTTGTAAAATAGTGTTTTTGAAAGTTCCTGTTCTAGGCACATGCTTAATTGTAGGAAATATGGTACTATTGCTGGACTGCAAATTTAAATATTCTAAGACTTTTCTCTGTCCCATAAATGTTTGGGGTGCAACCACAGCAGGATGAATAATAGGAGAAAGGGCTGCCACCTTCTCTTAGTGTGAGGTCTTGTTTTCTAAAATATTGGATACATTTCACTTCTGTTATGGGTTTTTAAACCCCACCTGCATGAGATGTTGGAACTGTAATTTGTTGAGACACTCCTTCAGCCTTGCTGCTTTTTCTGAAGGCTTTTAAAGAGAAACTGCTGTGAATACACTTGAAGCATTCGTAATAACAAACCTCTCACCTAATCATATCTGTTGAAGCTCCTAACAGTTCTGTAATGTATGGGATCCACGTTAAGCTTGCAGAAGAGACATTTCTAACAGTCTGTCCTAAGTGTCTGTTTAAGCTTAGCTCATCTTTTGAGAATGAAAGGTGCTCTTGCTCAGCCTTAAAATTTTTTTCTGGCTCAGATTATCCCCAGATGTCTGATGTTGCTCTTTTGGCACTATAATGGGATTTCCTTTAACAGTCACAGGCTGTCTGTGAGAAATGGGTATAAATTGTGAGCTTTCAGTGAGCTACATCAGTAGCTCTGGTTTCAGTGGGGACAAGGTTTCTCCTAAGATAATTAAGTGTTGTTTGAAAAGAAAAAAAAAACCAACAACAAAGGAACCCACAACAGAATGAACAAAAACACCACCACCACCAAAAAGACAAACCCTAATCCCCACCAGCCTGTGTTTTAATTTCTTCCCTATACCAAAGCAACAAAATGGGAAGGTATAGAGAAAAATGCAAGCAGAGTCATGAGTCCCTCTGACTGTGCTGGGTTTATTTTAATGCTGAGCAATTGTCTCAGGCGTAGTCATTTCCTCTAGAATTCTTTAGAGACAGGAGAAAACCTCCTGGCTTTAGTGTCATCCCACCATTTATGTTTAAATCATACACAATTCAAGACTGTACTAGTCTTCATCTTCAAGCCTTGTCAAATACTGTAGTTTTTTTCAGAAGTACACAATTTTTCTGAATATTTTCTTGTTTTTATTATGCCTGACATGTTTCCTTTATTCAGGGAGACAGGGCTGGCATTATGATCATAACAACAACTCAGTTTACAATTCTGATTTAAATTCACTGCCAAATGATTAGTAATTTCTGCAGAATGACAAAAAGAGGATCCTTTAAAGGCAAAAGTTACCGAGATGGGGATATTTTTTCCTGATTCATATTTTGACATGTCAGTAATCACAGAGCACTAACCCAACTAAGTATAGAAAGTGAAGATAGACAGACCCCTTGGTCATGGTCGCTTGACTTCTAATAATTTAAATATTTGATTGGCACAGACTACAGTAGAAATACCTTCATAATTACTTATTTCTCCCTCATCCTCTTTCCCGTCAGCTGGTTGCCCTTCATCACTCTTCTGTTCCTTCCTACTTTGTTTTCCTTCTCTGCTTTTTCGTTTTTTAATTGCAAATATGATTACATGTTTACAAAACACACTACCTCTACATTCTCTTTAGTAACATTAAAAAGCAGCAAACCTGACTGGTAACAGACAGTGTTATGCTTGCATTTCAGTAAGGGAGCAGATAATGAAGTGGGGAACATCAGGGATGTCCAAAAGATGTGAATAGTTCAAGGGCTCCAAGGATAGTAATGTAGAGTAGAAGACATTAAAATTAGTTAAAACATTCAGTGGAAAACTTAGACATCTAGGAATTAACTTAGTTTTGACTAGGCTTTTGAGTAAAGCTTGGAGTAATCAGATGGCTTTGTCATCTGTGGCATAATAGTGTTGGCCCAGTGTTCTTAGGCAGTTTTCTTATGTGGCCTCTTGCTGTAACTTCAAAATGAGTGAGAAGAAAGCAAGTGTCATAGTTTCTCTTTGATAAATCATAATGTTATTGCCACCCTCTACCCCAAAAGAAAAAAAGAAAGAAACAAACAAAAACACACACACAAAAAAGCCCAAACCTTGAATGTTACTTTCACTGCTTATAGTAAATGCTGTGTGATATTTTAGTTAAAGATTTAGCATCTCTAGAATAAGTAATTAATTTGTGTTGTAAAATCATATATAATATCTATAACCTAGTGTTAATGTTTAAATCAAAAACCTATCTCACTGTGTGTCTGCTGGCAGGTAAGTAGTAGGGTTTTTTTGGGAAATGATTAGGAAATGCAGTTGTTAATGGAGTGGACCTACTTATGTAATTATATTAGATATATATAAGTTCTTCCTATTAATAGGTTTTTTTCCTAAGGTTACCTGTTCTCATAGGATGTTGAGTTTCTATTGAACTAAGAGTTTACCTAGAGCTTTGAGCACAAAGAGACTAATTACTGAAGAGATCGTATGATTTAATAAAATATGTGAATAGAGTTTTGATATGTTTGATTACAGACTTTATGAAGCTGTGTATTTTCTTTAGACAAAGTCCTGTTGATGGAAAAATGTCCTGCACAGAAATATTTGCAGTTAATGTCTTTTACTTTCATGAACCCTTTGACATGCAGTTTACTATTTGCTTTTCTTTTTGTTATAGTAAACTTGTGTTTTCATGCTTTTCCTGCAAGCTTAGTGACAAGAAAATATGCTCTCTTAGTTAGATATGGCATCTCTCAAAAAATAGTCATATTTTTCTCCAGATACTTGTTAGGCCTGTTTCGTGGAGCACTTCTTCTGTTGAGAAGTCAAATTTAAATGCTGGTTTTAATTTTTTTTCAAGGGGGTAAATATGATTTCTCTGGTATGCCAAGGTCATGTAGCTGTTTTAGATGGGTCGCATTATATGGGCTGAAAACTTTTGAAACAGGAAGAATTCTGATAATTTTTTAAACATCATTTTTCTTAAGGGAAAAAGTAATAAAAAAAGAACATAGCAAATCCTTCTTGCCTTGATGGTGTCCTGTGTTTTCATCTTTTCCTAGATCTGTTAAGCTTTGATGATGTAATAGCTACCTCAGATAATTTATCTCATCCTACTGCAAGCCGACCCAAGATGCCTGGTAGGAGGCTGCCTTCACGTTTCAATAGCAGTAATCCTGTGAGTATATTGGGTTTGTTTTCTTATTAGTGAACTAGGAACTAACTCCCAGGAAACAGGGTTGAACTGGGAAACAGTCCTTGTGGACCATTTACCTGAGAGTGAAACATAAAATGCCGCAGAAGTTCGGTTCTTATAGACCTTTTCTACGTGCATTCCTAGCATAAGAAAACGGGGTGGCTGTGTTGCAGCTGGAGGGGTCTTTTCTATGGGGTATTGGGGTATTTCTGCAGTAAGTACTCAACTCTTCTGGCATCACTGAGTATGAAAAGGTGGTGTGTATACACACGACTCTAAAAGTGTCTTTGGTGCCTAACAATAAGTAGTCTTTAGCCACAACAAACTGTGATTTAATATTGCGGTAACACTGGACTTGTGATCTTGTGCTAAGATGTGAGGTTGTCAGACCATGAGAACCAGGTGCTGTAAAGTCCTTGGATTAAGTTTGCATCATCAGATGTTGTATAGTTCAGTCATGTCAGTTGCTGTTTGTGTTTTACAGAAGCACCTACAAAATCCCAGAAGCATTAAGGGCTTATTAAGGACTGCAGAGATGCTTAGGGATCTTGCCCAAGATTCCTGTTTGATTTAAATTCAGATTAATATTACAGGGAAGGAAAGTTCTGAATGGTAGAGGAAGAAAACTGGTAGCCTAGCAATTCAAATTCTGTTTTCTTTGTTTTCTTTATACTATCACATCTCTTAGAAACACATGACAGGTTATTTAAAAATTTTTCTTTACTATTTCTTTATTTTTTTATTCTGAAAACTTTCATTTTTTGTGAATCCTTTACCAGGCAAGTCAAAATGTGAGTCCAGAAAAAAGTTTGAAGGTACAGAAAGAAGAAGAAAGTGCCAAACCAAAGCCAGTTGAAACAAAAAAGGTATGATACCAAGGAGCTAGAGAAGTACCAGGCAGCTAGATATTCTGTTCATCTTTCTCAAATTTCCAGTTCAGATAGATGCAACCATCTAAGTGCAAATGATTGTATTTAAGGGCAACTGAGCCATGTCATTTAATGTAAAGTTCATATTAGAAATCTTAACATAATGTTAATTTATACTTTAGCATCACCATCTTCAGTTCTGATGAGAAATATTCTATCAGTTAGCGTGAAACTATGGAATCATTCTCAAATAAGCATCATGTCTGCTCAGCCTTTAGTCTCCTGGCAGACAGAAAAACTGAGCAGATCAGAAAGATGAATGAAAGATTGTTTATAATGAAGCAATGCACTCCAGTAAATCACTACTTTTTTCTTTTTTTGACGTGTAAAGCACTTTTCAGTGACTACAGGAACCTCAGGGAGATTGTATAAAATAACTATCTTGTATGCTACAGTAGTGCATTTGAACTAGGTGTTGTTTTTTTACCTTTTGGGTAGAAAATTAAGGAAATTTGGGCTCATGTAGTTCCCTTAACAGTACACACTGTGTGTACTAAGTGATCAGAATGATTTAATTTCTTAGCTTTCTACTGATGTGTTTTTTCAGCCATCTGCAGTCAGTACACCAATTCCATCTTCATCTCAGAGACCAAGTTCTGTTATACTCAACTTCCTTCCTGGAGATGTCCAACTTAAAGGAGAAATGGATGATGAAAAAAATTCTGTGGAAGAACTCAGGACTCAGATTAATGATTTGTTGGCCTTAGTAGATGCACTGAAGAAAGAACATGGGTAAATATTTTCCTTCTCAGTCTGCATAGGCATATATAGACACTTCCAAATGTCTTTAGTGCCAGACTTCTTAAGAAATATCTTTGAAATATATTTTTTAAATATTTTTTAAATATTTCTTAAACAGTACTTTCAATGTAAGGAGAAGTAGATCATTTTTGTGGCATTTAACATAAGCACATGTGCTGGTCTTGTATAGTACCACTGTGCACAAGTGATTGCAGTGTTGACATGACTGGTAGTAAGGAAGTTATTCCTGAGCTTTTCAAATTGGTGATTGTGGTGGCTCCATTGTCTGTTCACTTGTGGGAGGGGTTGTTTTTAGGAGAGCAACCAAGCTGGTGAAAGAGAACAAGTCACATGAGAAGCAGCTGAAGGAACTAGGGTTGGTCAGTCTGAAGAAAAGGAGGCTGAGGGGAGACCTCATCAGTCTCTACAACGACCTCAAAGGAGGTTGTAGGGAGGTACGTGTTGGCCTCTTCTCCCAAGTGGATAATGACAGGACTAGAGGAAATGGCCTGAAGTTGTGGCTTAAGTTGGATATCAGGACGAATTTCTATACTGAAAGAGTGGTCAGGCACTGGAACAGCCTGCCCAGGGAGGTGGTTGAGTAACCATCCTTGGAAGTATTCAAAAGCCATGTAGGTTGGGTACTTCAGGACACTGTGTAGTGGCTGAAGTTGGGGTGGCTTTGTGTTGATGGTTGAACTCGGTGATCTTAGAGGTCCTTTCCAACCGTGACAATTCCGTGATTCTGTTATTGGAGAATGATGTAGAAATAAAACATAACTGGTGTTGGAGTAAGCATAGTAAAGACCAACCTGTGAGAAATTGACCTTTTCTGGTTTTAGTTCTACAGCACAGACACTCATTTTTGTACTATTTAAATGGTGACTTAGCAAACCAGCTTAGATTGATCTCTCAGGAGGTTATAAAGCATCAGGATCAGTTGGTCTCCAAAGCAAACTAGTAAATGATGAGTTCTGGAGGTAAGAAGTGTTGAGTTGGTGGAATCTTGTGGTCCAACAGATTTGAGTGCCACTTCACTGTTGTGTGAATTCCTCTTGTAAAATTGAAACAAGGCTTGTCCTTCTTAGTAACGTGATTTTTTTATTTTTCCACCTCCAACTTGTGTTTCTGTTTGTCTTTATTATTAGGAGAGAACTGGAAAAACTAAAGAAGGATTTGGAAGAAGAGAAGCTGTTGCGAAGTCATCTGGAGGTAATGTTAGCAGCTGGAGGGGGGAAGTTTAGAAGGATATAGGCAGTGTTCTGGAATTTGGTACCACAGGGAAATCTTAATGAACCTGCTCAGCCTTTTTGGTATTGCTGTGCTAGTGTGTGGTTGAATGAATGCCTCACGAGACAGTTGGTTGTATAGGAAAGTTTCACAGTTCATCTTAGTTCAGCTTTCTTTATCTGGAAAATTATTTTTAATATGTGTGGGTGTTGGGATGTGATCCAGTTCCTGCTGCTGGATTCTCCTCTTTGCTAGGAATATGTCCAACTGGCCATATTTCAAGAGAGAGCAAAATATGTTGCTTTTGTAAGACCTGAAAGGCAAACTTCTGTAATCAAAAGCAAAACAGGGCAAAAGTAAACTTTCCTAAATTTTTCATGAACTGTTTAAATATTGAGTGGATCATTTCCTGAAAGAACAGAATGCATCTGAAAAATTTCCTTATAAATGCCACTGCTCTGAATTTATTGATGAAAACATCTACTTCCCTTACAATATGATGCCATTAAGTAGTGAATAGGATGAGCTCATTGTAGAAAATTATTTCAGTCTGGTACAAAAGGGCATTTTATTTGTGAAATAGCACTTCTTATTGACTGTGAAGCTGCTTTTAAAACTCGAGGAGAACTTCTGGAGAGTCCTCTTTTTAATGCATATCCAGAGCAATCAGTGAAGTTGCCTTAAATATGCACTGGAGATGAGGAGGAAGTAACTTTCATGTATCCTCCATATCCATTTGAAGAAATACAAATTAATCATGGCACAGTATTTTGTATAAATCAATAAAGGCTGCTTTAGGCAGTTAGTCTGAGGTGATGATGCAGCATTACGTGGGGACATGTCAAATGATTCCACAATGCAGCTTGGACTGCTTTGTTCAGATTGAGTTTATCCAGTAAGATGTACCAGAACTGGAGGTAAATTCTTTTTTGTGTAGCAATATAGTTGTATAAAATCAGCTGTAAATACTGAGCTATCAAATGCTTTTGTGTTATGATTTTACTTACTGAAGTGTCTTTTGAAATAGTAAAGGTTGTAATTTTGGCAAAAGCTGTAAAGACTTTAGATTATTGCTGCTTTAATACTGACTCTTTTTTTTTCCCCAAAAAAATGTCCATTTTCCAGCTTGAAATAGAAAAGTTGAAGAAAGCAGTGATGTCTACATGAGACAGCTATGGACTCAATGTTTTAAACTCACCAGGAATTCTAAGCTGAGTGCAAGGAGAACTGACTCTTATTTTATAATGGATGCTGGTGTTCTACAGTTTTAAAGAGAAAAATATAGTAAAAAAAAAAAGGAATATAGTCTTTTATTGAGAGAGATAAGAAAACAAAAAAGAATAATGATGTAATTTTTTTGCCAATATAAAAGAGGCCTTATTTCTTACTGTGCTGGAATTGCAGACCTTATTTTTTGGTTTGCTTGAAAATACTACTGAATCTGTATAGAAAGGAGAGGGAATTCTTAATAGATTTTTATTGAATACCTGTAGCTTAATTTTTAAAGAGATCTATGCTATAAATAGGATGATCTATCTTTACAACTAATCTGTAAAATAGTCTATTGGGAGAGATGGAGTAACTGTATCATAATCATAGTCACTACTTTTCCCCTACACTCAAAAGGGAATATATGATATTTGTACAATTTTGGCAGTCTTACCCAGGGTTATGCTGTTGTGCCTGTCTGCAGTGAGAATATGAATAATATGCTGTTTATAAGTTGAGTAATGAGATAGGAATTTGTTAATGCAATGAATCAGGTGAAACTCCTATGCATTGTAGTAAGAATGAATTATCTGAGTAGTTTAGCAGAACGTGTTGTCAGTTGCACTATTGGATTAAAAGGGATTTAGGACTGAATCATGAAGTTATGACAAAGATAACTTTTAAAACCACAAAAAGGCAAGAAATTCCAGAAACAAGGCCAGAATCCAGTCTTAACTCAACCTGTTGTGCCTAAAATATTGTAGCCTACAGCATGAAAAACTAAACATTAAGTCACATCTGTGCTTCTCTGCATCTGAGCTGGAGCCATCAGTCCTTCTAGTGGCTAAATATGCATCTTGATCTGTTTTTACTATATAGTTTTGTTTATAATACATCTCCAAATAAATCCCTTTGGAACTTTGATACTCTCAGAACGTCTCAATATTTATATATTTATGCCATAAACTTTCTCAGTATGTTGTGTACCTCTGAGTTGAATAACATCTTTGTATTTGAATGAGTGATTGGAACAATTGCTTTGACAGCATTGTGCTGGAGTCCAAGATGGTGTCTTTCATGTGTTATGGAAAACAGTTAAAATCTTGTGGATTGCCATTATCTTTCACCCCTGAGCTGAACAGAGTGCACCAGAATAACACACAAATAATATGCAAAGTGTTGGGAGACCATTATATTTATTGCTTTATTCATTTGCTTAGAAGAAAAAAAAAAATACAGCTTTAGAAAGCCAGTCAAATGCATTATTTTTGTTAGCAATTACCTTATCTCCTTTTAGTCTACTAGAATTTAAGTGACAAAAACATGCTACAGAGTTTGGCAGGTTCACCAGTAAGAGAAGTAATTAAGTTTCCATTCATGGGAATATTAATATAGTAATTATTTAGTATGTCACTTGAGCAAGTGACATGGAAGTGTTACATCTTGAGAGTATATTTTCCACATTTGATGCATCATAAAATACAAAATTAAGATTGTTCATAAAATTTGATTCATGCACTATGCAGGTATTAGATAATATTTGCTAGTCACGTTGCTAATAAGCTTTTAACATTTACTTGCCCAGATGCATCACAAATTAAGACTCGAACCTGATCTTTATTTTGAGGAATAATGTGCAGCAGCAGTGCTTGTCACTGGACACTAAATTCTTGCTTGGAATTCATCCCTCTAAGTCAGCTGATGAAAAGCAGGAATTGAGCCTAATGGAATAGCCAATTTTGTTACACAAGCTCTGCACTGTGATGAGAGCACGAAACAAATCTTGGGATGGATTGCTCTACAGAATTTGTCTGTGTGTAACCTTGTAGCAGACAAACAGAACAAGACAATCAGTTAAAACCACAGATGAAAGGTGTTAATTATTTATTGGCCTTTGTTCGCTATAGCAATAAATTACCCAAGTGCAATGACTTGATTTAATAAAACCCTCCTTTAAAAGTCGCTGCTATGAGTATTTTTAGCCATAAGGAGTTGTCCTGGTATGTGTCTGTCTTGTCTTCAGCTAGTGTTATGTTCTGGAGTGGAGGGGGAGAGGGTAATGGATTTCAAGACATTCCACAGAAAAAGTTCCTGAGAGCAGTGTGCTTCACTGACTTGTTTACCAGTGCTGTAAAATGATGCATGCTCTTCAAACTCTGCTAATAAAAGAAATTAAAAAACCTGTTGAAATGTCTGCTCAGTTCTGTTCTGGGTTGTTTTCTATGCCTTTAAATTCCTGGTAGAAGGAGTTTGGGAGGTGGGGGCAAAGTGCATTATTATTTATATAGTCCCCTTTTGAAGCTTTCAGATTTTAATTTACTCACTGGGGTGCTCTGGGTCCAGACTGTCAGGGTGGCTTAGGATCCAAATGGTAGGAAAGCTTATCTTTGCAGATAACTGGCAATCTTAACTCCTCAGGATCTCTTTATTCCCACTTTTTTTTTTGTTTCCTGTTAGTCCATATTAAACTGACCCTGTTGGGCATCTGCAGAGTCTTGGCTGAAGTTCCCTATTGCCACTCAGTAACACGAATAAATGCATGTTTGAATCACTTTATATTTCAATTGAAGAAGTGAAGACTAAGAGTATGGCATGTTTGAAAGGAGTATGGATGAGGGAAAAGGCAATTGAAGAGCAGAACAGCAGAAGAGCATTTTTAAACTGCAAAGATTTTAGTCATCTTCCTAAGAGTTTCTAAAAAACTCCTGATTGCATGCAAGGTACAGTTTTAACAACAAAAATTAATTACAGGTCTCCTTATTTCAAACATTTATTTAAACAATCTCCATGAAGATCACATTTTTCATTGATATTGCTTCAGGGAAATTAAGTTTCTGATGAAAACCTGTAATGTATTTCACGGTTTGACTTTGAGTTGGGTGAAACTGTTACATAAATACCTTGTATTCATTAAAGTCATAAATTAGCAGGAGTATGTTAACTCTTTCCAAAGGAAATGGTAAAGCCAGGTTTTCACTGCTTCTGTGCTTTTGGCTGCTATTAAAGTTCTCTGAGATGTTCCTGACTGCTGACTGTTGGCTTTCCCAGAGCAGTGTCAAAGCAGCTGGTCATATATCTTGGGTAATTGGATTTTGCAAGAGCTGAGAAGACAAACCCCTCCCTTGTGGGTGCCTGGGCACATACCTCCCAGCTTGAAGAATGCAAACAGCCCTGACCAGCTTGTGAAGTGTGAGACTGATGCTGCTGGGTTCAGGGTTTGTTGTACTCTCCTTACTTGTTGGAAGTTGTGGTCTAAGTATCTTTTGCAGCCCCTGGGAGCACAGATTCACACATCTTTATTCTGGGAGAAGCCTATATCTGAGTGTTGTGGTATCCCAGCCTCTGTGTCCCTCAGAGGACTATTGCTTAGGTTGTGGAGGTGTTCGAGAGCTGAGGGACGTTCAGCCTTGCCATCATAGCAGAGGTTTGGGTGGGGAGCAGGGGCAGGTAGAAGCACAGCTCCAGGTGCCAAGGGGAGAAAGCCTTTTTCTGTCCATACATTGACATGAACTGGTCTTTGGTTCTTCCAATGTAAAGGGTTGCTAAGGTGCCACCTTTTTGTCTCTGCTTGGTTCTGTATCAAGAGCAAGTTAGTTAACCTTATGTAGGTTGTATTGGCTGTGCCTGGTAGTGCTTGGCTTAATTCCTGCTTCTCACCAATGTGAGAGGCAAGGCTGTATCAAAATGGAGCAGTAGGTAATGCCTGCCTTTAGGCTAAAATGAGACCTACCTCGTGGCTGAGGACTGACAGAAGCCAGGAAACTGGATAAGCCCAGGACAAATTCCACACTGCAGGACTATGGGAAACAGTGACCAAACCTCTTCCAACACAGCCCTGGGAGTAGGAGGAGCGTTAGGAATTGCTCTTCTGTGATAATAAACTGCTTTCTGTAAATGACTGGCTATTGGAAATCTGGCTGATGGGGGTGAGCCAATATTAAGAGCCAACCGTGAACGTAGCACAAGGTTCAGTAGAGAGCTCTCACCCCTTAGATTGGGTGCAGCCCATAAAGAACAGATTATTACTTGGTCATTGAGCTTTTCAGCTGCACAAGATACTGTCAGTAGTGTTCTCTTTGATTTAAGAAGTGTAATGCGTTAACTTGAGCAGAATTTGATGATGTTTTGGTCTTCAAAGTGTGGAAGATCAGTTAAATACAGAAGAGCAAAAGATGCCTCCTCCACCAGGTGAAAGGATCCAAACCATGCAGGTGTGGTTCATCTTTGTGGACTCCTGGCAAAGGTGGCAATCTGGCAATGTTGTGGGTGTGTTTGTAACTCGTTCTGTCATTTTGCAATGCAATTCCTTTATCTGCAGGTTCCTCAGTGCTAATCCAGTCAGACAAGAAGAGAAGCAGGCTGATGCCCAAGGTTATTTCTTCATGGGAAAACTCTTAAGTGAATCAGAGCACCCAAGCAGTGCTGGGTAGGACTGTAAAAGTGAGACTGGGACATGATGGCAGCAGAGGAATGGTTAGACACTCACCTGTGATAGCTTGAGGATGTGTGAATTTTGGTCACAGTAGAACCCAGGCTTCTGAGAACAGTAAGTACTATCACAAAACATTTATTTTCCAGAACTGCTTGAAAATTATTGGTGGTCTGTGAAATCAGTTCCTTTGTAATCTAAAATGTGCCTGGCTGCTTGGGCTGTATTTATTTTTACATATTGCCACAGATTTATATGCTCCTTACATCTCTGGAAATAATTATATATTTTAATTAGCCTCTGATCTTTTTGCTTGTAGTTTTGTAATTGGTCTCTAATCAGTGTTCTCACTTTTAAGAGAAACTGAGATTTTCTTGTAGCTAAAGTTACTGTAAAGATCCCTGCTCTCTCAGAGCTTGCTTTACTTAAATTCACCTTTTCCAAGTGTGATCTCTCTTAAAAAGCAGCTAATACCATTCTGTATAATGAAGAGCATTAAGTTTTATCCCCAGCTGACCATGATGAAGATTCTTAAGTCACCTGCTTCAGCCTTTGTAACTTGCTAGGTAGCAATGGCAAGTGATCCCATTATGGGGGTTTATTGTGTTTCCAGCTAGCCATCATGTGGCCTTCT